CTGGTTTATTCCTGTTTCTTGAGGACATGACTTCCAGATGCTGTTCATCTGCTGTACATGGGTTTTCAGTCCCGTCACTTCTTCTTTTGTCCTCCACTTGTCCAGTTTCTTCAGACTTTTTGAGGACATGGTGCACATCATCTCGAGATATACATATGATGAGTTTTTACTCGTCTGGATTGTTTTTCTCAAAGGTAATCCTTCTTCCTGCTGCCATGCCTTTTGATTGTGGGTAACTATAGTATTGGTACTGTTCATCCATATATTCATAAAGTGTCACAGACTACAGAAAATCACTCCTATAATTTGCCTCACTGCTCTTGTGCTCCAGTGAGTCATACTCTCTTCATTTAGACCGATGGCCGACTGACTCCAGGAAACACAGGTGATCCACAGAAGCAAGACAGGAAAAACAATCAAAACATTGAGCTCAGTCTAATTAACAGACCGACATCTATACCAAAATAAACAACAGAAACTCATCGTGTGATCAATAATCACACACCCCACTGATAATGTTTGCGAGCCGGGTATAGTGAAACGAGGGATAGAGAATCCAGGATTACCAACTAGCCAACATCCCTGATGCTCAAAGAAACCCTGTATCATAAATCACCATATAATCAATGAAAAATACAAGGTACTTAAAAGCTACTTTTTGTATATTTCTGATCTCCAAACTAGCTAAAAACCTTCAAAATGAAGTAAAGCTATCAAATAATCCAAAAATGTTCAAAAAATCTGTTTTGTGTTGAAGAGACATCAACTGAAGTTGAACTAGAGCGGGGCTGTACTTCTGTGCAAGACCAATTTGTACAAAAACATAGTACATCACATTAATGTAATTCATTATTTAACCAGGCAAGTCACTGAGAAGCATTTTTATTTACTATGGTGACCTGGGAAAAGGAAATCCCGCCCCCAGAAGAAATGGGGGCAGGGCTTTAAAAAATACAGCAGCAGACATCTGAAAACATGCCTGCTGGTAAAACAATGCTTCCTTTGGGGGATTTGGATAAGCATAAGAGAATAGATGGATTAAGAAAGTCCCTTTAAGGACATTATGAGCATCATGTAGATGTACTTTAATTCCATCCTCTTCTGCTTATCCAAGTCAGGGTCATGGGGGGCAAGGAGCCTATCCCAGCTGCCATAAGACCCTGGACAGGTCACCACTTTGTCACACGGCTAACACAGAGAGATTATTCATGCTCACATTCACACCTACCACCATTTTCAAATTAACCTAATCCCAATAACTGCATGTCTGGACTGTGAGCGGAAGCCAGAGTACCACACAAACATGCAAACCCCTGCACGGAAAGGCCAAAGCCAGGACCTTCTTGTTGTGCCACTGTGCTATCTATTTTATGGTCAGTTGATATAAAATTGTATTTATGTAAACTGCTTCAAGTTTTTGTCTATCGAGAAAAGAACACATCATAGAGATCATTTTATTGTAGAAGTACTGTGTGGCTGAAACAATTGTTTTCATCGCCAAGTCTGACAGCTAGAAAAACAACCCATTTCCATTCTGCCGGCAACTGACCTGAGCAATGATACGACTTCCTTTAAAACCAAATTATCTCTATGAGCTTCAAAAGCTCATAAAATGGCTCATCCCTTCCAGAAGCGTTTTTTGCTCTAGGCAAAACCACCAACAAAGTCACCAAGCTCCTTACACATGCACATTTCACCCACAGATAACTGTTAACCCTCTGAGGTATAAATCATCATCACTGACTAACCCTGACCTAATTTTTTTATATACTCATTGAATTGTTCTTACAAGTCTTTGCAAACAGATGACGAAAAAAAAAATAACTCTAGCAAATATCAAAGACTTCCTACCCAATAGGTAGAGCAGGTCATCTACTAACTGGAAGGCTGGTGGTTCAAACCCTGGCTGCTCCAGTCTGCATGCCAATGTATCCTTGGGGAAGATACTCAAACACAAGTTGCTCTTTGATGAATTGGAGAACATCTATCATTCCATGTTCAGAGATTTTTAAGTGCTTCTGTAAATGAGTGAATGAGGCAGGTTATATAAAGCGCTACATAAGAATGCTTACTGTTTACTGTTAGGATTAGGTTTAGACTGCAGACAGAGCAATGGCGTAAACATCCAGATCCAAAAACCCGAAGAGGAGAGTCCTGGCCCCTAGCCCTGCCAGTGTAGCAGAAATGATGAGGATGATGATGCAGCAGCAGCCGTTCTTCTCTGCGTGAGTAGCTTCATGTTGTTCGTGTGTAATTTACGTTGAGTAGGCTAACCACGTTATTACATTAATGCATGTAAGGTGAACTAGCAAACATCATCATAGCTACATGCGGCTGTCTTCTTGTTTGATGGCAGATGCTCCCTTCACCCTGGCCAAAAAGGCTAAAATGACCAAAGAAGAAGTGGAAAACAGTTAAACATGAGAGGTTTTTGGACAAAGTTTGTGTTTTTTCCATTGTTTAAGCACTGCTTCCAGCCAAGAGTGATACCATATATGCCCCATAGCTGCAGAAAAGGCTAACATTGTTATCTTTTTACAAAAAAACAGCTGAACATGAGAGGTTTTTGGACAAAGTTTGTGTTCTCCATTCTTTAAGGACCGGTTCGAGCACCGTTTAAGCACCGGCACAGTTTCAAAAAACAAAATGTCCATCCATCTATCCGCTTATCCTTTTCAGGGTCGCAGGGGTGCTGGAGCCTATCCCAGCTGTCATAGGGCGAGAGGTGGGGTACACCAGTCTGTCGCAGGGCCAACACACAGGGACAGACAACCATCCACACTCACATCCACACCTATGGGCAATTTAGATTTTTCAATTAACCTATCCCCACAAACAAAATCAACAAAATGTGAAAAATGTTATAATTGCTCATGAATTAATTATGCTTCTTGAGAAAACCTTGTTGTATGAGATGACAGTGATATTTTCCATGAGAATATTTGTGCCAAGTTTGAAAACATCACCTTATGACCATTGTGATACATTGTGTTCATGAGTCTTCGTGTTTTATGGCCTCCACCTTTAAGTACAAATTAAAAACTGCTCCAAATAAGGACAGTGATTTGTACATAGTTATGAGACAGAAGTAAATGCTTAGACAACATCTTTGAGTAAAATACATGAATGTATTGTCCTGTTAGGGACCAAGCTGAGCTAACAATCCAAGAGGTTTTTTTAAAACTCAGAAAGTTATTTCTTTTAGAGCTTTAAATTTCCACTTCAGAACTATAAACAGTCACGAGAAAAATAAAGTTTGTCACAAACGAAGAACAACCATTCTGTATCTGTAACAATCAAGAGAATGAACCTGGTTAACTGATAATCAGCGACTGTGAGCGCACCTATAAAAGCAGAACGTTTGGCAGTTTGCTGGTTTGAAACATTCAGGTATTAACACAATGCCACAATCGTCCCAGGTGTGGACATCTCATCAAATTCACCCCAAGCTCAGACTGTGAAATACTCGGACAAACTCCAAAACACCCAGGAGATACATCGCCAGAATCAGACAAGTTCTGTCAAGCGACACTGCAGAGGTTCTTGTCCATGCATTTGTGTCTTCCTGCATTGATTATTGGCCTACCAAAGAAAAGTTTTAGAGGTCTACAGATGGTGCAAAATGCAGCTGCTCGCATTTTAACAAGAACTGGGAAATTTGAGCACATTACCCTGTGCTGAGATCTCTGCATTGGCTACCTTGTCAGGTTCTCGTGCTCTCCGATCTCAGGACTCTGGCCTTCTAAAAGTTCATAGAGCCTGAACAAAGACAGTTGGAGAGCTTTTTCTTTTCGTGCCTGTTTCTGTGGAACAACCTCCCTCAAGATATTCAGCAGGCTGCTCTGTGGAGGTTTTTACAGCTAAGTTGAAGACACATTTGTTCATCCTACATGTCTTAATTCTGTGGCTTTTAGTTTTTACATTTTTATTGTTTTTAACTTGTCTTGTGTCTCTTACCTGTGTTGCTATGTATCACTTTTATTTTATTTATCCCTTTAGTTGTACAGCACTTTGTTTGAAAGCACTTTATAAATAAAGTTATTATTATTATTATTATTATCTCACAGGCCTCGATTAACGTGCTGAATGCGAATATTCATGACAGCACAATTAGAAAAAGAACACGAACTTCTCATAATGGACGAGTTGTACGAGAAAGCCTCTTCTGACTGAAACGGCCATCAGAGAAAAGGTTTACAAAGATACATCTGAACAAGAACAAGGTGTCCTGAAACAAGTTTGATTTCATTACGACATGAAACAGCCGGTGGCATCTTAGGAAACATCAGGTGGCGTAGTGTAAAAGAGGTATGTGGTGCGCAGGGTGCTGTACACAGTAAGACATGAGAGAGAGAGGTATAAGAAAGAGAGAGAGAGAGAGATGGTAGGTGTGTAAGTCACGGCCAAGGCAGACGTGTGTGCGCAGCAGCGATACATGACACGCCGAGGCTCAGTCAGTGAGTATTTTAGGTTATAACTGTGTTTTTGCATGTGGCTAATTTTTCAATCTGAAAATGCTAATACAAAAAATATGTATGTTTTTGTTGTTGTTGTTTTCATTGATATTATTTGTTCCACATGGTAACAAAAGTATTGCTTGGAGAAACGGACCATTACAGTCAGTGTTGAATATGCATGTCCCCATATTTGTACACTGGTTTTCTTGATGTTATAAAGTTGTGACTTTGGAGCTAGGGCCGATGTAAACACTGGTGTGTACTCTATAATGTTGTTGTTAACCTTTAATTTAACTGTACTCACTTACATCGCCAACACTTTGTCTTGTAAACCCGTCTAAATGTGTTTTTTCTTCGTTCCAACTGGACTGTTTCTCTCCCCTGAACATCGCTGTCAGCGTCGGCCGCTATCGAGCGCCATAGGAAATCCATCAGCGTGCGTCACCTCTGCACCCTGTAACCCGGGGGACATACTCCGCTGCTTTTCCTGCTGTCACTTTTCTTGTCGATGCCCACCCTTTCCCCCCTCGCACCCCACCCATCATGGATTTGATGGATGTAGACGGGGGCCGTAGCTGTGGAGAAAAAAACTGCGGCCTTACATCTGGCTTCCCGGAGGACTGCTCCAACCAAGAGTGCCACTGGGAGGAACCTATGTTTGGACTGATTGAATTAGGTGGGTAAACACAGTTGTAAAAGTAGTCTTAGAAATAAAATAATAAAAATAAAAACCTGCAGCTACAGCGCATCTTTCTCTTTAGAAAGAAAAAGAACAAATTGTTGATTGAAGGAAATTGTGGTATCTGAATATTTCAAAGTCATATTTTCTCTTACGTTCCATTGGTGTTAAAGTAGTTTGGGTGTATAATGCTGTTTTCTGGGTGATGCTGAGTACTGCTTGATTCACTCCAGGAACCTGATTTGCTCTGTACATGTGGTTTTAGGCTAAATAAAAGGATTGGTTTCATGGGTTGTGCAACTCACATCTAAGCAACTCATCAGCAGTGGATTGTGTTGTGAGATGTTCGTGCAAGCTTGCATGGTTACATGTCCCTGTTAGTTAAATTTGTCAATATCAGTAGTAAACTTTATCTGATGTAAACATGGCACAAGGCACTGAAATCTAATGCCAGAGGCTCGTTTGCTTATCTTAACATATAGCAGGGGTGTCAAACTCAAACACACAGTGGGCCAAAGGTCAAAACTGGAACAAAGTCGCGGGCTAACGTTAATATTTATTGAAATATATTTATTCCTCCAGATTTAAGAATGAATCTTTTCTTATGGACTCAAACACGTTTTGCTGAAAAACTGAATATGCAACAAGCAAAGCTTAATACTAAACAATATATATATTAGCTGTGTAATACCAGTAGGCCAGCTCTAATAGTAATTTGGTATGGCTTCATGGGCCAAATGTAATTAGGCTGCAGGCCAAATTTGGCCCGCGGGCCAGAGTTTGACACCTATGACATATAGGGTTTCCTTTTCTTTTCTTCTTTTTTTGTTTATTAGCTAGCACTCTCCATTTCCACTTTTTGTGTCCAGAGCGTATATAAAAGTGTATATAACAAGAAACACCACACATGGTTATTGAAGTTGTGTTTTGAAAGCTCAAGCTGATGTTTTAAATCCAGACTTTACAAGCAGGGGGCCTGACCTGAATGTCAGTCTGAGGGACACTGCAACCTTAGCCAGTGTTGCCAACTCCTCATTAAGGAAAATCGCTATTGGCTTAAAGCTAAACGATGTCATCGCCTAATTTGCACAATTGGTCATGCTAACGTCATTGTAACCTATGTTGTAGGAGAGAAAAATAACATCGTGGAAGAGACATAAAGTGAGTAAAAAATGCATTTAGAGTTTATTTAGAACTACAAATTAAATTTCTTTTAGCAATTATTGTTTTTTAATGTCACAATTCCAACCCTGCTCCTTTACCCGGGCTTGGACCGGCTGTGATCCGAAATAGGCGCTCTGGTGGAGGTACTCTGTGTGTGTTTGTGTGTTTATTAGTAGTTTTAAACCTTGTGATCCACAAAACAGCATAAGAGTAAAAGAAGAACTGACTGCGTTACAGTCAGTGCGGGAGCAGCGGCTTCGCTCATGTGCGATTCATTTGCAGTTTGGACGCATAGGGGTGAAAATCACCTGCTGGGGGAGGACTATCCTCCGCCCGTGAGCACTTTGGCACGGGCGAGGTGCCCACGGCAGCACCGCTGCTTGTTGTGAAAAGTCGCTAAGTTGGCAACACTGGCCTTATCATTGACTGGTTTTATTTTCTCCTTGTATGCAGTCAGTGATAAGGAAAGGGGGGCAACTCTTCTAAGAAATAAAAGGTCTGACTCTAATGACGTCCTTATTAGAGCATTCTCCTTGTCGTTTTCTCATTATATCAAGCAGGCAGCGGTGGTAATATGAGGACATGATTCTAGCTACACTCTTTGTCTAGTATCTGGAAATGTTGATCCTTTTTATTATCTGTGCTGAAAAGGCATGTCCACCTTTATGTACAGTCTATGGTTGGTGCTAAGCTAAGCTAACCAGCTGCTGGCTATAGTTTCATTGAATTATTTGTAAAGAAATCTATACAATATGTAAAAAAAATACACACACACACACACACGCATATATATACATATATACAGGGCTGCACATAAGTGGTCCGCAGGTGCGCATGCGCTGTCAAAATAAAAGACGCGCACCACATAAGAAATTGCGACGCGCGTTTGCGTACATAAGATTTTCTGGAGGAGGACAGAGTTTGTTTAGAACTCTTAAAGATGTCGAAGAAGCTCCTTTAAGCAATTACTTTGGTTTTCCTCCACCTCCAAACAAATGTCAGGAGTCCGAACCACAAAAGAAGCGCGTATTCTCGGAAAAGTGGTTGCAGGAGGTGAGCTGGCTTCAAACAAATGATGAACGCACAGAGAGGTGGTGCCATGAAAATCCCACTCTAGCGGACAACTTCTTATCTGGTGCACGTTTTTTATTTTGACAGCGCATGCACACCTGCGGACCACGTATGTGCAGCCTGTATATATGTACATATATGTGTGTATGTGTGTGTGTGTGTGTTATGTATATGAGGAAGATAGATGGAAACAGATCAAATTGAGATCTGATAAAAACAGATAATTATTTCTTCTTGCAGTGTGCGTGACTGTGATTTACATCCCCCTGATGTTATTTGGCCTCCTGGGAAATATACTAACAATTCTGGTGGTTTGGCTGCGTCCACACATGAGAACCTCCACCTACCTCTACCTGAGCAGCATGGCTGTTAGTGATCTGCTGATACTCCTGCTGCTGCCTCTGGATTTATATAAGGTATCTACTGACACAGTGCATATTTTGTAATGCATGCTTGCTTTACTTTGGCCTGAACACCAGACCTACAGCCACGTTGTGGCACTAAGCAATCAGATCATGATGTTAGTTAGGTTTAGTCGAGTCACAGAAAATCACTCCATTGGGTGAACAAAGCAGGCACAATAGATTCGCTTCCTGTTTGTGTTTTCTAGTAATTGTTTAAAGATGTTATTGTTGCCTTCCCCTCAGGGGGACCCCTGCCTCTAAATTAAATCTTGTTACATTGAAAGCTTGTGTCACACTTAGAGAAATCTTAAATCACTCTTCTATCGCAGGCTTGGCACAATCACTTTAAGTATGTGGATAAATAACAAGTCATATTTTTGTTAGTTGCATGGGTTTTTATCATATTCCTTGTGCAGCGTAACTTAATTAACACAAGCAAAGACAGATCTGGCCTTTGATTCTGTAAGACGCCAAGAGCTTGAAGAACAAACGTTACAACTAACCCATATGTTGCCACAATAATAAAAAGCCCTAATAAGTTTTTAATTTTTCTTTCATATATATTGTCAGAATGGCAGACGCTCAGTAAAACATGGTTTACATAACGAGGTCTGTGTACGTACAAACTCAAAGACAGGCTTCAGACTGAGCTGAGCACTGAATTTCCAACAGTTTCTTTGTACTTATATAGCCCCAAATCACAGCAACAGGTGCCTCAAGGTGCTTTATATTGTAATGTAAAGATCCTACAGTGGAGAAAATGGAGACAACCCTAAAAATCAGACAACCCTCTATGAGCACACAATTTTGGTGCTAGTAGGAAGGAAAAACTCCCTTATAACAGGAAAGAAACCTCCTGCAGGAGCTGGCTCAGGGAGGAGAGGCCATCTACTGTGACTGGTTGGGGTGAGGGGAGGAAGGCAGCACTCTGTTAATAAAGTAGTTTTCAGAATGTTCATTTAAACTAAGCAGCTGAGTTAATATTAAATACTTGTTCTTATCTGAGTCTGTTGACATGCTATGCACTGCTCACATATTCTTTACAGGTTAAAAAAGGTATAAAATGCAATCAGAGGAAAATAATTGTTCTGTCTCTCCAAGCTCTGGAGGCCCCGGCCCTGGCCCCTGGGAGACCTTGCCTGTAAGCTGACTATGTTCCTCTCAGAGTGCTGCACCTTCTGCACCATCCTCCACATCACCTTCCTCTCCCTGGAGAGATACCTGGCAGTCTGCTGGCCGATCACAGCCAAGACAGTAGTGACACGGCGCAGAACCCGGGCCATCATAGGCTGCCTCTGGCTGAGTGCGGCTGTGAGTGCCGCACCAGTGCTGGTCATGGTTGGAGTGGAGGACGTTGGACGAGAAGACCTCGGGCTCATCCAATGGAAAGAAGACGGGGGGTGGACAGGCAGGGAAGGAGATCAGGGAGGGTTTATGATGGGTGGAGGAGAAAAAGAAAGCAGACACATGGATGGAGGCCCAGAGGGAATAAAGTGGGGTGAAAAAGAGACAAAGAGTTGGGAGGAACGAGCTGGTGAACTGAAATGGATCGGAGAAAAAGTGGAGACAGAAACAGCAGAAGTAGATAACAGGCCACCGGAAGACAAAGGTGAAATGAAACTTGAAAAACATACAGTTGAACATGGAAGGGAGGGAGACGGAAAGATGGGATTAGAGGGAGAGCAGCAAAACAAAAAGGAAGACGAGGGAGGAGGACTGGACGGAAGCTCCAATGAAGGCCGTGGGGGAGAGACTGACAAGAGAGAGTGCCGCTGTACACATTTTGCCATCTCCTCTGGCCTGTTGTCAGCCATGATGATTCTCTCCAATTTGTATTTCTTGGTACCTCTCTGCATTCTGGGAGTGGTATATAGTCTGATTGGGCGCACACTGTGGCTCCGCCCAAAAAGCAGCCGTAGAGACCAGAGTCACAGGAACACTGTCAAAATGCTGGGTGAGGAAGCACACACACACACTATGCCTAAACCTAACCATAACCTAATAGTAACCCTGACACTAAAACCATATTTTGAGCCTCAAAAATACCTTCAAACTTGTGGGGACGTGGATTTTATCCCCATAAAGGCTGTTGGTTCCCACAAGCATAGTAAACTTCCAATTTTTGGTCCCCACAAAGATATGTAAGCACACACACACACACACAATTTCAAATTCTTTTAAATTCTCACCAGTATGGCGGCCAGGTGAAAGACATGTTTTTTGTTTTGGGGGGGATATTCAAGCAGTTTTGTTTTTTGTTTTATTTACGTTGGTAGAGTTGTTGATGGGTTAGTTCGTTCTTGGAAGCCTGTCCGTCATGGAGCCGTATAGAAACAGCTTGATACAGAATGGAACCAAAGGGTCACAAACATCCAAAGATGAGCTTTCAAAAAGCCTGGAGAACTACTCCTGAAGACTGCTTCAAGAAATTAGACGAAAGCTGCCTGAGAGAGTTCATAAAGGCAGTCATACCTAATACTGACTCAGACGCTCATTCGACCTGTATTTCCATGTATGTTTGTACATGGTTACATTAATGGCTGTGCCTATTTTCCATTTTTTAAAACAACATATAAAAAAACTGAGGGGTGGGCAAAGACGTTTGCATACTGTAGTCCATGTAGTACGTGCCGTGATTGGTCAGGACTCGATCTGGAACGTTGGCGGTTCTGACTTAATGTTCTCATCTTTTTTTCTTCAGGAGTGATCGTCTTGGCGTTCGTCTTGTGTTGGCTGCCGTTCCATGTTGGTCGAACCATATTTTCTCTTTCTCTGGGCACTGGGACTGAGAGACAGGAAACTTACCTGGACACTAACTCCCAGTCAGACACTATCACGCATGTCAGCATGGACAGAAAAGATGTCACCATACCCACTGTTACTAACCCACCTAGCCACTTAGACCTGGACATAAACACTGAAACACTGTCCTTGCACTCTCATATCATGTCACACACAAAAGGGCGACATGAAAAGACCGACATACATAATGGACACACTCAAAATAAAAATGTTTCGGCTCATGTTATTAATACACAACCAGACAACAGAAACACACATAACCAACTGCAAAGAAGCACAAACACAATCACACACAGCCTGCAAAGTAAGCTATCAATTACCGTAAAGTCCCAACATGACAAACCTGAAACAGCGCCTCCCATCCCCACAACTGCCTATTCTGCAGCATCTACAGAGCTGCACTATGACCACACCTACAATGACACAGTCTTCAGCGACACATACGCACCCCTGATACACACTTGTACTTTTTATATTATCTGTCTCAGTATTTTAATCTTGTGTCCTCCGTGCTCTTCTACCTCAGTGCCGCCGTCAATCCTTTATTGTACAACCTGATGTCTGCCAGATACAGACACGCTGTACGCAGCCTCATACGCACACAGTCTCACGCACAAGCTCGTCGCATGCACACGCTCACCGTGCACCACTCCACAACCACTTTGTGATGGCAAAAAACAAATGGATGCACCCACTGCAAGCAAAAAAGAGGAAACAATCAAACAAACCTCAATTTCTTTTCATTACAATGTGGTACTGTACCACAAATTGAGAATGTTGACATTTATTAATAAAAAATATTTTAGGCATAAATTAAAAAAGGCATATTAATGCTTATGCTTAGACCAATTCTAGCACAAGTAGTTTTAATTCTTTATGTAATTTATGTATAAGAAAACCTCCACATGAACTTCATATACTGGGCAAAAATATTGTGAATGGCATTTCATCAGTACATGGAATAGTTCATGCAATAATGCACAGGCTAAAACACATAGTGCAGTTTTAGCCTGTGCATTATTACATAGCCGGTTTGTTTCACCCAAAAAAATCTATGCACAATGAAAATACACTAAGTCTTTTATTTTGTCTAAAAATGAGTGATGCTAATTCAGTTAGACTTTTGGGCTAGATTTTTATATCCAGAGTCCGCTCGCATAGACTTCAGCCAAAGTCCAAATAAGCTGTGTCCAAATTCAGAGGCCGCATTTGTAGACCGATGACATCACAGCCAGGCGACGAAAGCTGCCCAAATTCAAAGACTCTGACAAATGCGTCCGACAAATGCGTCCTTCATTTCCCCAGATTTGAAGGATGGGTCAGTTGTATCCTTCGATGCCCAACCTGTCCCAGAATTCATAGTGCAGCCAATTCCAGTTTCCATCAACGGAGGCAGCTACTTAGTTTTAATATTCCTCTTTCTGGGTCACAAAATAAACTTTTAACATATTTTCAGGGAGAATGTAGCTGTGTAAACCTCAAATATCTGCTCGATTTATCAAGACATTGCATATTTGCAAAAGCGCTCCGACGTTTTCGGAGACGTCTGTTACCCACCAGCTCGATAGCTAGCCGGGGTTCAAGGCTCACTAGAGCAGGCGGAAACTCCCGGCACATCGTTTTCAGACCCCGTGGTTTTACACTACTCAGGTTAAACATGATACATAAGTCACTTAGACAACTTAAAAATGTTATTATTTGGCTTTTTTCAGTGTTTTATTTGTTCCTGAGTAAATCTGTTTGGCTGAGATTAAAGTTATAGTTTTTACACAGCTGAATAAATGTCAAGCAGACAGCTGATTATCAGAAGTGTGAGATGCTGGAGAATTTACTCCAGTGTCCTGTTATATTTTAGGGAGCAAGGAGCAGACGGCTGATTTTATTAAACTCCACTGAGACAGCGGTGACACAAATCTGAAGGCTAGACCGTCCCATTTCACAGCCTCGCACTTCCAGCCTTCTGGGTCTTCGAAGGACCCGGCCTATGTTGACCGTGAAGGCCGGGTCCTTCGAAGGATGCAGGTCTTGAATTTGGACACAGCAATACTTTCACTCAGGAGCCATCATGGAATACTTCCAGGAACCTTGTCAAAAATCTTTTGGATTGGTTTTCCTAAAAATTCCATTTTCCTATCTTTACAATACAGTTAGGGCTGCCACAAACGATTATTTTGATAGTCGACTAATCAGATCATCATCCATTGGACGTAAAACGTACAGCTTATTGCACCAGCAGCATCTGCTCTTATATAACTATCATTAGCTTACAGCTTTAAGTGTTTGTGCTAACTAAAAATAAAGACAAGATGAGAGTTTATTGAATTTTAATGAAGTTTGCAGATTGTTTCAGTGAAGTTTAATAAACTCCTTGCTATCTAAAATATAACAGGACACCGGAGTAAATTCTGGAGCATCTCACACTTCTGATAATCAGCTGTCTGCTTGACGTTTATTCAGCTGTGTAAAAACTATAACTTTAATCTCAGACAAACCGATTTGCTCAGGAACAAATAAAACACTGAAAAAGCCAAACAATAACATTGTTAAGTTATCTAAGTGACTTATGTATCATGTTTAACCTGAGTAGCGAAAGACGGCGGTGGGTTTGAAAACGATTTGCCGGGAGTCCGGTGTTCTCACGGCTCTAGTGAGCCTCGCCCCCGGCTCGCTATCGAGCTGGTGGGTAACAGACGTCTCTGAAAACGTCGGAGCGCTTTTGAAAATATGTGGTGTCCTGATAAACTGAGCAGATATTTGAGGTTTACACAGCTACATTCTCGCCTGAAAATATGTTAAACGTTTATTTTGTGACCCAGAAAGAATAATAAGAGTAATATTAAAACTAGATAGCTGCCGCCATTGTTGGAAACTGAGGTGGGCCGCACTATGAATTCTGGGACACAGCTTCTTCTTCTTCTTCGGGGTTTAACGGCAGCTGGCATCCTTGTACATGCAGTGCTGCCATCTTCTGTTTCAGTTCGTTATTACACTCTGAAATCCTGCTACTTATTCCTGCGTCTTTTGGGATCTTACAAAGCTTCAAACGACGCGTCGACTATTAAATCAGTCGTCGACGAGTTTGATAGTCGATGTAATCGTGACTAGTCGACCAATCGTGGCAGCCCTAAATACAGGGTTAGTGTTACCACCTATAATAGCTCAGACCTGAGAAGGTTAACCAGACCTGAATCCTAACTTTAGATGAGTTATTAATGACCAGCTGAATGTCAAAAAGTTAAAACATGTTTTTCCCTGAAACTTTTATTTCCACTGTACCACCATCTTTGCTGATGTGAAACAATCCCCAGTAGTTCTATTAGGGATATTTGAGTGTCATGTCTCCTCTGTCATCTCTGTTAGTCTTATTGATTTATAATTATGTTTGTTTTTTCTCCCACAGTCAACAATTATATTGACTATTTGTATGATCACAACGCGGTACATCTGTTTGGTGTACAAAGACTTATTATTATTAAATGTAAGAAACATGTTAATCTTATTTATGTTCATCCACTTGTAAATTAAATTGGTGTCACTGTGTGTCACATGATGAGCTTATTTGCTTTTTTTTGGTGAGTCTATGAACTACAAACTGTAGCTCTAGTCCATAATATCATCATATTTTCTCAGTGGCTGAATAACTCAGCAGGTTAAGAGCTGAACTAGCAGTAAGAAGTCATAATTTTGAGACTTGGGTTTCTGTTATATAACTGCATCATAGGTGCTGAACCAGCATGATTCAGCGTCATGCTCGATATAACTGGACTTTAGGCTACATCTCTATGTACCATTCAAACCAAAGGCAGGCAATTAATTTTCCCGAGGTGCTCCTGGGACTCTTGTAGAGTGCTGCACCAATAAGCTGAACTCAGTTTCGTATAATATTACTTTTATCTCCATAATACATAAATTATTATTATATAAAGCTGTAGCTGTACAGTGGATGCTGTAGGGAATGAAAATATGAGACAGGCATTGTAAAAATGCAAACATTTTATCACTATTTAATCAAATCCAGAAAAACAACTGTAAACAAAATGTCTTGATGCATTCTCAATAATCAAGGTAAGTAAATCTCCAAAAGTTGATTCTGTTCATCTGGACGTTTCTGCCACTGAAAACGCTACGTCCAGAGACCTGTAAACAAAATGTGCATGTTCTGGCAAAATGTTAAAGATTTGAAGTGCTATTGCAACTTTGCATTTAGTTTTTTAGTTTATCTGGTATTTTTCAGTTATTTTTTTCTTGTTAAGTGAAGAAATACTTGCCTGTTTTAGGCTTGAATAAGTGCAACAAGAGGTCGAAATACAATGGACACTGGACAGGTGATCATCGCCAAGAGAGAGGATCTGTACCTGGACTTGTGAAATTTTATAAGTAAGAATGTTTGTTCACGTGTAAAGGTAGATCCAAAGACAGCCAACATCTTCTGAGCACGTCTCCTTATGTGTGCAAAGATCTTTTCTTTGAGAGAATCCAGCAGTTATCCTGACTTGAAAATACAGTGAAGGAACTGTTGGAAGTCCAGAAAGCACTGGACAAGGAACCGTTAGACGGGAAGAAACAGAAGTAGAAAGGTGAAACACTAAGCTGCCAACTAAGCTGCCTTTCCAGCACAACCTCACGTGTCTGAATTTACAGTTATGTTTTCATGTTGACATACTGTATTAACACAACTGATCTAAAATCAGACAAAAAACCTAAAATCAGAGTAGAAAAAGTAATTTTTTTACTGTAACAACCACAAACATGTTTAATGAATCATATTTCATAACTTTAAATGTTTTAAAGTTTAAAATCATATGCACAAGTTTTGCAAACAACAAAGTTATTTGCAGCCAATTACCTTTTACCCTTTTTTTTAATAACCACATCTATTTACATAACCATCAGCTGTTCTGCATTCAATAAGATGCCACGCAAATATTTGTGCCACTCCAAAAACATAATTTCTGTCCACTATAAAGGAGAACATCACAGCCTGATACCTGCAGGTCTGACAGCAGCAGGTGTATCACTCCTGTTTCTACCTGGAGACAGCAGTCGCCTCATTGTTCTGACACAACACAAAACTATCCACAACTCTACACACTAACTACACAAGACAACACATTAACTACACACTCCAAACACGCTAAACGTCACAAATCTCTCACATCTCAAAACTCGCGCTCTCTCTCTCTCGCCGTCACTCCTAAATCTTCCCCCTCTTCCTAAACAGCCAAATGTCATGTCGCCATATTAATTTTTGATTGGTCGACATGGTGCATTTTCCCACACACGTTTTTTGTTTTGTTTTATTTTTTTTGCTCATAAGCAGAGAGTGCTCGCTGCTGTCCTTAGACAGTAAACGTGACGAAACTATTCAGGAAAAAACACGCGTATATATTGTTCATCATAACTCTGGTTTTACGTGGCCTATCAACACAATGTACTGTAAAAACTGGCATATATCACCTTGTTGCCCTGTCATCTTAAAGTGGTCATGTGATTGGGTTACCACGACTACTTTATTCTTCCTCAGTTAAACAGCAGCACTCATTTTGGCCCCTAGCTGCAGGTGTTGTGCCAAAAAGTGATCGTCTGTCAGACAGCGATTGCTGCCTGCGGGAGCGCACAGCTGCTTAAAGCTGCAGCTCCCAGATTACTTACAGCTACTTGCTACAGCAACTGATATAAGATGCGGTAAGCTGAACACAGCTTCAACCGTCTGTTTGTTGAAAAATAGTTACGCGACCGCATTTTTTGTTCGTAATGGTAATGGCGTTGTAACGATTGCAATAATAATTAGTTACATTACTCGTTACTGAAAAAAGTACCGCCATTACTAATGCCATTACCTGTAACGCCGTTATTCCCATCACTGGGAACAAATCAAATCTTCTGGAAAAAACTGCAAAATGTTGCTGGGGAAAAGTACATCTGGAATAAGCTGCCTACCCTGCAACCATCAACAGATTTCAGTTAAGCAGAAGAAAATCAAAATTACAAATAAATGTAATCGTTCAAGCGTGAATGTGAAAACTTAAATCTGAGTTACTCAAGTCCAGTACGTCTTCTTATATATATTGACTATTTGGAACATTGTTTTATATTACTTTAGCTTAGCAGCTAATAAATACAGATGTGAAAAGCATGGCTAAGTAATTAGCTTAGCATTTGGATCTCCAGCATACACAGGCAGACAGAAAAAGCCGGTTATTGATGCATTACTAGCATAAGTTTAGGACTAAAACATATTTTATCTGTTAATAGTATTGAATTTAAGATCCTCAGGCATTTTTCAATGTGACACCTATCTTCTTATTTGTTTAAGAAACTTACTATCAGCAACTAATCTAAGAGCCTCCAGTGATGTTTGCTGCTTCAATGTGTGCGTTTTAGCTTAGTGTGTGTTTGCAACTTATACAATGCTATGCGGTTGTTCAGTCTGACGTCACTAGCCGTGTCTGGGCCTAAACTCCGCTGCAGGTCCATATATCAAACGATCACTATGGCATTACTGAGAGTTGAAAAACAGTCTAAAGTCTTTCATCTTTAATAAAATGATCAGCGTTCTGCTCTACCAGGTGTAACAATTGAGTTTAACATCCAGGCATCCATGAAAACGGAATTTATGACATTTAACGGAGTTAGAAGTTAGCAGGGAGTTAGCTCGCTAGCTTCTATCTAAATACAATATAGCATGTCCTGACTGCGGGGTTTTGGAAACAAATTAAAACGTACAGCTCTGCTATCACTTCCAGCATAAATGAAGACAGAAAACTAAACAGCAGTGACGTTTGTAGGGTTACTGAAGTTGGGCTAGCTGCTATATAATGATGTGCTACGTGACCGCTAGCGACACAGCTATGTTAGCATAATATAAACAAGCTAACTTTTTTTCCACTCGATAAAAGTTACCGTGAGTGTTCTCGGTGGTCAGGAACAAATGTAATCGCATGGCAGGATGCTGTAAAAGGACCAAACTTCAGCCAGGAGAACAACTGAGATAATCCATCCACAATACGAGGTTAGTCATTCATATACTGCTGCATGGGCTGGGCTGTAGTTACATCCTAAGGTTTTAAAAACTGACCTTAAATAAATGATTAGCGGTAATAAAAGCCGAGGGAGGTCAACAGGGATCACTGACTGTTTTAGGAGCTTTTTGAGATAGAAGAAAATATAAAACATTAAACATGTTAACAACACAAAAGCCATATTAAACACAGACTACTTTAGGCCCGGAAGTAGAATTCGTCACGTCATCACTTAACCATTTTACACCACCAAGTGTAAATACTGTATTAACGTTCCTAAGCACACTAAAGCACAAAACTTTGGTTGGTATTGTGGGGAGAACCCTGACAATTTGACAGGGTTCTCTTTCTTTCTTTAATTTACAGAGTTGGAGTGTGCTGTAAGTGTTCTCAAAATGTAATGAAGACAAAGACACACACACACACACACACACACACACACACACACACACACACACACACACAAGGAAGAGGGCTATCATGTTGATTCATGTCGTTTAATAGAGGCTGATGTGTTTTATGTAATATATATGACGTTTCATATACTGCGGTGTCAGATACTGATATAAATGCCTTTGTTTGATTCACAGTTGAGGGTTTATCTCCCTTGTGAAAGAGGTTATGCTTTCTTCCATGCTAGTCTGTCTGCCAGCAGAAATGGATTTCTTGAAGTTTGGTGGACAGACTGGCCTTAGGCTAAGGGACAATTGATTTGATTATATCAATATTCCAGGCCATTTCTGCTATGAGATCAGGTCTTTTTTTGAGAACTATGTGAAAAAGAAGCTGTCTTTTTTCAAATCATATGCGTATGACAAATCTCTCAAATTTATAAAGTTATCAAATTATGAAGTTACCTCTTTTCCTCACTCTTTTAGTCACTTAAATACTAAATTGTAGCCTTATAATACTTTTGATTCCAGAGTATATGTCACGATCCTGGGCCATTTGGCTCAGCGTTTTGAGTGTATATATATTTTGATGTTTTTTGTCTTATATTTAAGTTCTTTAAGTTACCTAAGTTCTTTCCTGTCATGCCCAGGTTGTTGCTGTAGTTCATTGTTTCTTAGATTTCCTTTGTGTCTTCTCCTCTATGTTTAAGTCTCCCTTGCCTCTCATGTGTTTCATGTCTGTGTGTCTTATGTTGTCAAGTTCATGTTGTCACGTCTGTGTCTCATTATGTTTCCTGTTTTATTTTGAAGAGGTCCTGTGTTCTACGTTCAGTGTGTTTAGTTTTACTCCTCCCCCGTGACGTCGTTATGTTCATGTGTGTCAGCTGTTTCCCCATGTGTTGTCACTTCCCCTGATCACCTCCTGTGTATTTAGTCTGTGTGTTTTCAGCCATTCCTTGGTGGACCGTCTGTGGTTTTTCCACGCCATGTCATGCTTTCGGGTTTCCATATGACATTGCCATGTTTAGAGTCTTTCTTGTTTGTTTTTCTATTCACCAGGGTTTTTCATGGTTCATTTCACCTTTCTAGTTTACCCAGTTTAGGTTATTGTTTAGTTTTGCATTTTGTTGGCCATTTTATTTTTGTACCATTTTGTCTGCCTTAATAAACAGCTCATCTTCAGTTAAAGTTGAGTTTTAGTATGTCCGCACCTGGGTCCACTCTTCGCACTTCACACAGTTTGTCCCGGCAGACTGTGAGAGAACATGGACCCAGCGGACTTACAGCTGTATGCGTGAGGCTGCCTTCGCCCAGCTGGATGAAGAGCTCCGCTGGAAGCCGTGGCGCACTCCTGATTGTGAGCGCATATTCTGTGGAACTTGGCTAGCTCTCAAAGGTCCCTGGAGCTGCCGAAAACCCCCACCAGTCGCACCCAAGCTTCAGCCGCTTCAGGTGGGAGTGCTCTGTTTTTCTTCCGACGCTCCAGCTTCTGCGTTGCCGTCCCGCATGTCAGAGGCTCAGCTGTACGCCCAGGGCTTCCTTGCCTTGGAGGAAGCGACGCTCACGCCGCCGTCACTTTTCACCTGCTGAGCAACTCCCAGTGGTGACTTATAAGGACTGCCTTTCACACATTCCACCTGAACCCATGACTGAAAAGAACAATAAACTCACCCCAGACACTGTTGGAATCTCTCTTTTGGATGATGGTAAAATGGCCTGTATTTGTATAGCGCTTTTCTAGTCCCTAAGGACCCCAAAGCGCTTTACACAACCTGTCATCCACCCATTCACACACACATTCACACACTATGATGACATGGCTCCCTTTGAACAGGGAAAAATCAAAGACAATAGTCACTTGCCTGTAAGTGCTGTTAAAGGAAAAACTGTGAGCAATGTTACCAGGTCTAAGACACTCAGTTCAGGTTCTGTCAGTTCAGCTTTTGTCAAGTTTGGTTCAGTCATCCCCACGTCAGTTCACTCTTAAACCTGTTAAACCAAGGACGTCCATGTCTGGTCTGCCCCGGCACCCATGCCGGTCCCCAGGGTGAGGTCAGCCAGTATACAGCCCATCTTTGGGCTGTGTAATGCCATCTGTCTTCCCCCTGAGAAAGCTGAGGTGGTTGTAAGCTTCATCCAGATAGTAGAGCCAAACTTATGGGCTCAAAATGTGGTCATAAATATTTTGTACTTGTAAAAAAGATTTGTATGTGTAAAAAAGATTTGTGTGTGCGTAAAAAAGATTTGTATGTGTAAAAAAGATTTGTGTGTGCGTAAAAAAGATTTGTATGTGTAAAAAGAATTTGTGTGTGCGTAAAAAAGATTTGTATGTGTAAAAAGAATTTGTGTGTGCGTAAAAAAGATTTGTATGTGTAAAAAGATTTGTGTGTGCGTAAAAAAGATTTGTATGTGTAAAAAGAATTTGTGTGTGCGTAAAAAAGATTTGTGTGTGCGTAAAAAAGATTTGTGTGTGCGTAAAAAAGATTTGTATGTGTAAAAAGAATTTGTGTGTGTGTAAAAAAGATTTGTGTGTGGACTTAGAAAAAAAACCCCTGCAAGTTACAAGTACGGATTTTTGACCCTATTTTTCTACCCTTCATCTGATTGGTCAATGTCATGTCAATCACAAATGTAACAATCCAATCAGAGAACAGATGGGTTTGGCTGTCGGAGGGGCGCTGTTTTGAACTGCAGGTCCTTGAAGGGTGATACCGTTTGAAGCTGGAGGATCGCTATATAAATATCCGATAGCAGCTAGGTCCCCTAACTTTCAGTAGCTGTTGAAAGGATAAAGTTGTGGTATATCAGTGGTTAGAAATAACATTATTACTTTAGGATTAGTTTAACACAAAGTCAGGGCTGACCCAGGACCATTGCTGTGAGTCACAGTGCGCAGCATAAAAGTCCTTTCACATCGGATGCAGGATACGCTGCTAATGCTAACTGCTAACTAAAAGCAAAGGATCCAGAATTTGTTACGCTGGCTGCTGGGCTCTGTGGGTTTTTGCAGCAGCTCTAACTGTACTAGATGCACCTGCTCCTTGTCTTTTCTATCTCTGACTTTATGTCCTCTACAAGAGTTTATTTTTTTTGCTAGTTCTTCAAATGTTCAATAAAAACATGTATGCTAATTCATAACGAAGAAAGCTTTGTAATGAAGACTGTCATTTCCAAAACACTGCCCGCCCCCACCCCGCGGTCCGCAGCGCTGTTGAAAAGGCTGTGGAAGTCCCTGTATTAAACACGTAGACCTGTGACACAAAAATCACCAAACTCGGACGACCACAGACTGTTTTCCTTCGTGGTGATGAAGGAAGTCAGCGACGTGATTGGACTTACCAGCCACATGCTGAATGTCTGTGGTAAACTCAGAAATGGCCGCCAACTGGCGCTGCTGGCGTGCGCTCCATGGGTCAGAGACCTTGGACATCGCAAACATCAAAGGTTTGTGGTCAACGTACGCAGCAAAGTTGCGACCCTCGAGGAAAAAACGAAAATGCCGTGTCGCGAGGTGCAGGGCCAGCAACTCCCTGTCAAAAACACTGTACTTGTGTTCAGCATCCCGGAGCGTACGACTGAAAAAGGCGAGCGGTTGCCAGAGACCTGAAACCCGCTGTTCCAACACTCCGCCCACTGCCACGTCCGAGGCGTCGGTGGTCAACGCGATCTCCGCCGACGGAAGCGGGTGGGCCAGCAGGGCGGCGTCAGCCAGCGCAGACTTGGCTGCGGAAAACGCACGGACGCGTTCAGGCAGCCAGTCAACCGGATCTTTGGCTGTTTTACCTTTTAAGGCAGCATAGAGTGGCTGTAGCAGGTGGGCAGCTCTGGGGAGAAAGCGGTTGTAAAAATTTATCATCCCCAAGAACTCCTGCAACGCTTTAACCGACGTGGGACGCGGGAAAGCCGAAACGGCCTGGACTCTGTCGGGCAACGGAACCACACCTTCAGCGGAAATGCGGTGCCCGAGGAAATCCAGAACAGGCAACCCAAACTGGCACTTGGAAGGGTTGATGATCAGGCCGTGCGCTTCCAAACGCTGGAAAACCTGGCGCAGATGGGACTCGTGCTGGCTCGCTGAGCAGCTGGCCACCAATATATCGTCCAGATAAACAAAAACGAACGGCAGCCCACGCAAAACGGAGTCCATCAGCCGCTGAAAGGTCTGGGCGGCACCTTTCAGGCCAAACAGCATGCGCAAAAACTCAGGAACCTGGTGATACCCCCGCACCAAGTCAATTTTAGAAAAAATCGACGTTCCGGCGAGATTGGCAGAAAAATCCTGAATGTGGGGGATGGGGTAACGGTCATTCTCCGTGGCATTATTTAAACGGCGGAAATCTCCGCATGGCCGCCACCGACCGTCCGATTTGGGCACCATGTGAAGCGGAGAGGCCCATGCACTGTTCGAACGCTGTACAATGCCAAGGCGCTCCATGGCTGCAAACTCTTCCCGAGCGACGGACAGTTTCGTGGGGTCGAGGCGGCGCGCGCGCGCGAACACCGGGGGCCCGACCGTGGGAATATAATGCTCAACCCCATGCTTCGTTACCGTGCTAGAGAAATTAGGGACAGACAGCGATGGAAACTCTAAAAGCAAACGCTGAAAAGCATCCCCGGAGGTCACTACATTAGCCCGAATCAGGGGCTCGGAGGCCCGAGTAAAACAGGGTAGCGAAGAAAACGAGAGAGCATCGATTAAACGTCTGTTAGCGACATCGACAAGTAGTCCATGAGCACACAGGAAATCAGCACCCAAAATAGGTACAGAGCTAGCAGCAACAACAAAGTTCCACTGGAAATCCCGGCCATGAAAACAAACAGTCACCAACCTTTCCCCAAACGTTTTGATGGGAGAGCCGTTAGCTGCAATGAGCTGCGGCCCACAGTTCGCTGCTAGTCCGTCGGCAGCGGTAGGGGGAAGGAGGCTCTTCTGGGAGCCGGAGTCCACGAGAAAACGTCTCCCGGAGCGCGAGTCCTCTATGAAGAGCAGCCTTTCTGTATTGCCAGCGGTCGCGGCTGCTACGGCGCGCTGGCGGGTCAGTTTCCCTGGGCCGTGAAAGCGCAAGGCGGCAGGCAGCGACGCGCTCTGTCGCCAAAACGCTGATGGTAGAAACAGATGCTCTTTCCGCGGTGCCGGCGTGTAGCAATCCCTGCCGTCAGCAAGGGGCGGATGCTCCGGGGGAGGCAGGTGGAGGCGTGGAAGGTGCCGCCGGCGTGTCCGTAGCCAGGGCGTGAACGTCGAAAGTGCGGCTAGCCAGGAGAATACGATCCGCTTCTTCAGCCAGGGAGCGATAATCCTTCGCAGGCAGAAGCGGAGAGTTCGTGAGGACAGCTCTCACGGCGGCCGGTAGTTGGCGAAGGAAGAGGTGCACGAAGAGGAAACCACCGTCATCCGGCCCGAGCAACGATATCATGTTCTCCATGAGCTCGAGCGCGGTACCGCCACCCAAGCCTGACAGGTTGAGGAGCTTTTCGGCTCGTTCGGCGTCGGAGAGGGCATAGCGCCGAAGAAGCAGCTCTTTGAGGGCGGCGTATTTCCCTTGGGCGGGTGGGTCCCGGAGGAGCGCCATCGCGCGACGGGTATCCAGCGGGTCGAGCGAGGCCACCACATGGTGACACTTCGTGTCGTCAGCCGAGATGCCGCGAAGGGCGAACTGAGCCTCCACGTGTACGAACCATGACGGGGGGTCATGGAGCCAAAAGTCCGGCAGTTTCAGCGCCACAGCGAACGTAGCTGCAACAGGAGGCGGAGGTCCGGTGGCCGCTGATGCATCCATAGCGGAGTGTGCGTTATCTACGGCCCGTTGCATGCTCGAGTCAGGGGTCACCAATGTGGAGGTAAGCATCAACGACACAGCTCTCAGTTCTCACTCCTTCTTTATTCGTCTCCAACATCAACTGCGCATATCGCGCCACAAAACACAGGAACACACTTCCTCTACACTGGGTGTGAGTGGAGCCCTCTAGTGGTCCACCACAACACATACAAATCTTTTTTACGCACACACAAATTCTTTTTACACACACAAATTCTTTTTACACATACAAATCTTTTTTACGCACACACAAATTCTTTTTACACATACAAATCTTTTTTACGCACACACAAATCTTTTTTACACATACAAATCTTTTTTACAAGTACAAAATATTTATGACCACATTTTGAGCCCATACAAACTTGACACAAGGCGAGAGTGAGACACCACAGCAGTTTCTCTACCAGGTGATAGGGTTGAAGCAGCGGGTCCTCTTCACATCCAAAATGTCTGATGCAGGCATAAAGTACAATCCAGCTACTGTTCAGGATGTTTTCTTGCACTCGGTCTACCAGGGGCTTGGGTATAAGCACAGTAACATTAGTAACATTAGAGGTTAAAACCTCTGTTGTCAAGCAGAGAGGTGAGTGATGAAACAATCTTGCGCCACATAATGAGAATCACTAGCGAGGAAAGTGAGAGGCAAAAGAGAATAGGCTCGTCCCGTCGACAGAACACAACTAGCGCACATAGTGCTCAGTCTGAGCTCAACACCATCCAGGAATGTAGTAAGTAAGACCGACCAATTGACACGACCAAGACTGACCCGAT